ACACACACACACACACACACACACACACACACACACACACACACACACACACACACACACACACACACAACTGCATTAGATGACGGATGGCTCATAAGCGGCCACTTATGCATTATTCTGGACAGAGTATAAAACAAGCCATCAATCCTGGGAAGGAAGGGGCACAGAGAAGTCACAGGACTACTCCTGACAGCTCACACATACAATTCACAGAACGTTTACACAGCTAGTAGAAAACTGATGATGATAATGTCCTCTGGCAGTTTGCCATTTTCCCCATAAATGTTCCATTATAATATTGTCTTAGCAATGTGTGGGGAGCCATGATTCATTTGTCCGCCTGTGCCTTTGTTTGAATGAACGGCAACAGCTCGACTTATCAGACTGTGAGGTGACCTTCATTTGGGAGAAACCGTGAGCAATACCACGAAACAGTGGCACGCAAATGACGCATGCAAACGCACACTTAAATGTCAGAATGTCTTAGGGTCTGACAGGAATTTCAAAAAGAAAGAATGGCATCCAAACTAAAGACTGACAAAACAAGAGCCAAATTTACTGATAAAAACCTTTAAAACGGATGATGTAATGCCATTTTATGTGCGTCTGGGACATGATTTGGGGTCTGAGAAATGCTTATAGATTAATAAAAGCAGTGTGGGCGTTAGCAGCCAGCCATGACCTGTGCAGCACAGCTACATGTTCTGCACATATGCATTTACATCCAAGAGGTGCATGTGTATGTGTGTGTGTGTGTGGATATGTACAGACTAACACACCTTRCAGGTTCCGATGCAGCCCACAGGTCTGTCCGGACGCCCACTCAACCCCAGCTTCTTATTGATGGCTAGAAAACGGTACGCCTGAATAAAGACACRCAAACACAAAAATAAATACCCKGTCAGTGAGAACAGCATTCAGATCCTCCTGCTCACCTTTCTGTTTACAGAGTAAACAACAGTGGCAGATTTATCAGTACAAGGCTCTGCGATTGCATCTATGCTGCTCTGAGAAGGGAGGGTATATATTTGATTTGAAATGTCATGCAGCAGAGTTTCATTCCATATTGTATTAAAAGCACGAGTCCAATATCTGCCTGTCCTACTGAGACATTCTGTCTTGTTGCAACTGCTGTGATGAAATATTGTCCATACGACAGAAGCAGTGACTGATAATAGCTCAGTGTTTGGTTATGAAAACCAGCTGTAATGAAAGTCCCAGAGCTGCACACCTGTGAGCACCGGAGACCTGGTACCTAATAAAAATGCTGTAGTGACAAACGGAGACCCATAAGAAAAAACACTGAACTGTGTTTTTTATTGAACAACGTACTACCATGTGACGCATAAACAAGCAGGTGGCTAAATATAGCAACGTTAACCATTTTCTGGAAGTTTACATACTTTCCTTTCAGCTTTATTTAGAGGCCAGCTTGGAATGATTTTTACTGACATGCAATTTAAAATAAAAACAGTGACTTATAGTCCAAAACCAGAAGTAATTTTTGCAACTTTTCAGTCCTTATTAGACACAATTTAAACATGCATAAACAATAGCAAAMTGTTGTATTTCTTGGCTGAGATGATCACTTTAAGGATTCATTTATCTGCTCTTACACTCAAAAACAGAAATAKTGTATTTAATGTAATTTAATAACAAGTTATGTCAAGTGGTTCCACTCAAGTGAGTTGAGTAAATATAGAGCAACTTTTAAATTKTCTTTAAAAGTAAAATGTGAAAGGTGCTTTACATTTTCTTTCTTTCCTTTTCTTTTTGAGTGTATTTCAAAAATTTAAATGTTTACAATGCAATCTATAAATGTGGACAAAACTGAAAAGATAGTTATTGGAAACTGAGAAAACGGTCCAACTACTGTACATTGAYTCCTAACAGAGCTTTTGTGGAGAATGTCAAAAATTTCTAAATGTCCTCATAAACAACTAAGAAAGAACTGTTTCTCTATTTTCTATGCAAACTGAGGAAAGATAATCATCCAGCAGCTGTCCTCTTCACTTTCAACATTTGATCTAATAAGATCATCGAAATCAGGTGCATCACTGCTAAAAGGACCAGTGGAGTCTCTTTCCTTATCTATTGCAGACCTATATCACACATAACATCATACCACAGAGTCACCAATACTTTGGAGGACCTGGTGATGCCTCACACAAACTTTTTACCCTCTTCCAACCTGGAAAGTCATTTATGACTATATGACTTGTGATCATGTCTCTTTTTCAAATGCTGTACTGTTTGTGTTGTTTTATAGGTAGCACTATGGTCCTGAAGGAATGCTGTCTGTTTCACCTAAGGTTAAAATGACCAAAACTTTCTCAACTTGAGTCACCTAAAAGACTTCACAGATGACAGCTTTACTGTTTCTGGCAGACCCTGATCWCCCACTCTATGGTGACTTCAGGCTGCTTCTGTCTAGACGCAGGTATCAGTTGACCAAATGTAGGACTAACAGATTTAAAAACTCAGCAGCAGTTCAATTCCTTAATGAACATCTGTGATTTCTGTGTATTTGTGCATGAATGTTTTTGTTGTTWTTATGYCTACTGGCTGTGGAACAAATTGCCCCTTGGGGACAATAAAGAGTCTTGAATTGAATTGATTTAACAACAACTCCTGCTCCTTACCTCTTTGTTCATCTAGTTTATGTAAAGATCTCACAGGATGTTCTCTGTTGTCTCCTTATAGAATGGTACAATAATCCTTTTCTGGGGTAACTTAAGAAATTTCATTTTTTTAAAGAGATGTACTTCTTTTGAAGYGATTTTAATGAAGCAGGACAGATCTTATAAAGTCATCCTGATGCCTGACAACATAAACCTGTTGCAGACAGGACTATAAATTATTACTCTCATGTAAAATTTACAATCAGTTCTTTGGTGTTGACTACTAAAAGCAGCACATTAAACTTTGTGCAACACACTACAAGACTAATCAAATAACATGAAGTTTCAACATGGTTTGTGATCTGATAACAGTGCTGTTGGAAAATTTTGCAACATAATTKGTTTCATATCTGGGTATATACGGTCATGGGTGCACAGAGGGAATARAAACAGGCTTAGAAAGCAGTCCTGGGGGTACGGAGCTTCTGAGTGAAAGATGAGCAGCTGTCAATCTGGGCCATCTTTATGTCTGCTTGTGACGCAAGTTTATAATCCTCAGGTCCAGAGAGCTCAGTTGGTCAAACTGTTTCACAGCAAGACAGCATATAAAACTGAACTGAAACCACCTGATGGTAATAGTTGGATGAATTGAATAAAAATAACTAAGGTTATATGAAGAGCACACAGATAAAGGTGCAAGGCTGCCGAGACTTTCAATAAGCAGGAATGAGGAAAAGCCAGCACACTAACTCTTTATCACTGGAATAATTTATTAATTTACATTTCCATCCCACTTAGATCTTCATTGGGTCAAAAAGGCAACAACCTCTCACCATTATTGATGTCTCTCTATTTTTCTCTTTGACTTGACAAAGATCCAAATTGCATTGGAATGCAAAATAAGAAATTATTCCTGGGGTAAGGAGTGTGTGGGTTGCTCTTCAGTCATCTTTATTGCATAGATGGATAATTACCATGTTAATGATCATGTTCTCTACAGTCTTGAGACAGGCTGACAGCCTTTATTGCTATAAAAAAGTCACCTATTTCTGACAACCWTTCCAAAAGCAATGAGCGTACATGTTTTTTTCTTAGCTGTAGTTTCTGCCAGATATTTTTTGTTAAACATATAAAACCACATTGTTGATGTCCCAGTATTATCTCACATTAAAAATAAAAGAAAAAAGGGGAGAAACTGGATTTAAGGTATAAAAATGGAAGCCATTCATCCTTATAGAAATGGCTTGCTGGATGTGTACTACTGATTTACAGCTATAGACACTAAATGATACACTAAGCTCTTATAGATTTTCTAAGAGGTTCTGCAATAAAACAATGACTATTAAAATATTTCAAGTTTTCCCATTTAACCCCAGTTTTTTTCCCTGCAAAATAACTGCATGCATTTCATTCCTTTGACCTCCCTAAAACATAATATTTATGACCTTTTTTCATTTTATGTTGATTGTGTTAGTGAAAATGTAGGTTTTGTACTCGGCAACAATTGTTGCCGGTGGAAAACAGCACAGTCTAAACTGACACAAATCCTTTATTCTGACCTGTTTACACACATGAGAAATATAAATAACAATAACATGCATAACATGTTATAACAAGGCATGGGTACAAGTTTAACAGTAGGGATGACTGTGATGTAGCACAGTGTTTTCCAAAGTGGGGGCCACGGCCCCTTGGGGGGTCGCCAGGGAGCACAAAAATGGGGTCCTCAGAAAGCTGGAGGGGATGA